TGGGGCATGTCGCTGCCCATGGCAGGGGGGTTGGAACTAGATGATCTTTAAGGTCCCTTCCGATCCTGATAATTTTATGATTCTATGACACTTAGCAATCCTATACACAAATAAAAAAGAAAGTTGAATTAAAATCTTTAATAACAATGAGAAGCTGCAAAAAAATAGGGCTGCTGCTCTCCATTAAATTCTTACTAATGATTCATGTATAACACTAAACAAACACATCTGGAAGATCAAGACTACATTTTACATTCAGGAGTTACCTGTATAATGTTCAGTATTTGTTCAGATAGCAGACTTTCCAGTGAGAAACAGAAGTAGCATCCGAACCTCTCATAAAAAAGGAGCACAAATAATTTTGTATTCAAATTCAAAATATACACTATTCTTCTGCAGAAACTGGCTGCTCATGATTTGGAAGGGCATACCCCTCATCAGGTAAAAAACTGGCTGGATGGCCAGATAAAAAGTGATGGTGAATGGAGTTAAATCCAGTTGGTGGCAGGTCACAAGTGGTGTCCCCAGGGCACACTGTTGGGGCCAGTCCTGTTTAATACCTTTATCAGTGATCTGGGTGTGGGATCAAGTGCACCCTCAGTAAGTTTACAGATGACACCAAGCTAGGCAGGGGTGTTGAACTGCTGGAGAGCAGGAAGGCTCTGCAAAGGGATCAGGACAGGCTGGATCGATGGGCTGAGGCCAAGTGTAGGAGGGTTAACACGGCTAAATGCTGCGTCCTCCACTCCAGCCCCAAGCCCCAGCAGCACTACAGGCTTGGGGAGGAGTGGCTGGAGAGCTGCCCAGCAGAGAGGGGCGTGGGGGTGTTGATGGACAGCCGGCTGAGCATGAGCCAGCAGTGTGCCCAGGTGGCCAAGAAGGCCAATGGCATCCTGGCCGGTGTCAGGAAGCATGTGGCCAGCAGGAGCAGGGCAGAGACTGTCCCCTGTACTCGGTCCTGGTGAGGCTGCAACTTGAATTCTGTGTTCAGTTTCGGGCCTCTCACTCCAAGAAGGTGATGCAACATGTCCACAGAAGGGCAACAAAGCTGGTGAGGGGTCTTGAGCATAAGTCTTATCGGGAGAGTCTGAGGGAGCTGGTGGTGTTTAGCCTGGAGAAATGGAGGCTGAGAGGAGATCTTTTCACTTTCTACAACTACCTGAAAGAAGGCTGTAACAAGGTGGGGATTGGTCTCTTCTCCCATATACTAAGTAAGAGGATGAGAGGAAATGTCTGTTGTGCCAGTGGAGGTTGAGGTTAGATATTAGGAAAAACTTCTTTACTGAAAGGATTGTTAAGCATTGGAACAGGCTGCCCAGGGATGTGGCTGAGTCACCCTTTCTGAAGGTATTTAAAAGATATGTAGATAAGATGCCTGAGGAAATGGTTTAGTGCTGGATGTGGCATTGCTCTAAGTTAACAGTTGGTCTCAATGATCTTAAAAGTCTTTTCCAACCAAAATAATTCTATAAAAAGATGCTATCCAGATTTCAGAGTAAAAAAAAAAGTGGACTGTAATCACTAGAAATGTTTTGCTGTGTTAATTAACAAAGAAAAATCAAATCATAGATTAGATACCAAGAGCAAGGGTGAAACTTGTCAAACAAGATGGTATAAGATAAAATTTTTAGGGACGATTTTATGCCTAATGCATTAATACGCATTTACTTAGAAGTTCGGTTAGGTAAAGAAACTATTTAAACTGTATTACACTGAAAATCGCACAGTTCAGATCCTATATTTTAGCAGACACATTTACTAGTAGAATTGTGAAAATAGCAGCTTCTCAGTTTGGTACTTCTGAAGAAGTAAACATGCTTTAAGAAACGATTTGAAAAAAAAATATTAAAAGACAATAGACTTGAGAGAGAAGCTTCATCAGCGCTTTCTCGTTTCAGGTTTTGACCTAAAGCTGGCAACAACAGAAAGCAAACAAACAAAAAGACAAAACAGTATTTTAGTTGTACTTCGAAATCAAGTATTTTTAGCACTCAGAACCTAAGTGTTCTCCTCAGCATATTCTCTATTTCCCTAAAACATCCAAAAACCCAAACTGCTAAAGTCAAGGCCGCAAGGATAGGACTATAGCAGTAGTCTTACCTGTGTGCTTCCGGAGGTGCTCTTTAAAATGTCCAAAGTGATCAAACTGCTTATCACAGTACTGGCATACATGTATTTTTTTGCCAGGTCTTTGCTTCTTGCTGGCACCACCTTCATCAAGATGGTAACAGGTGAGGTGCTGTTTCAAAGCACTCTCTCGTAGGTATCTTTTATTGCATATGTCACACTTGTAACTCTCAGTAGAGTGTGTTTTCATGTGTTCCTTAAAATGGTAAAACAATTTAAATGAACGGTTACATTTCTCACAGTGGAATAAATTGTTCATGTGTGACAGCTGAAGTTCCACAATTTCAATACCTTCTACCTGTTTGCATGAGGGATCAGTTGCACTATCACCACCTTCCTGGAACTGGCATTTTCTCTCTCCCTGACGATACTTGCTGGTGATATCTGCCAAAAGCGCCAAAGCAGATTCATCTGATGTACCTGTTGTCTGTATGTACTTTATGGATTGCTCTGCAGAAGCTACCTCTTCAAGTGTTTTGATGCTGCCATCTTCCACTTCAATCGTCCCTTCTGCAATCTCAACTTCAATTTCAACGGGCTCCGATTCTGCAGAGGGCAGTGTTTCTGTGATAACATTAGAGGTTTCAGCTATCTTCCTCTTTTTTGGTTTATTTTTACCTTGTTCTTGATTTGATTCTAAGGGCGATGAATTTTCTTTGTTCCTGTAAAACATTTACATAAACATGGCTGAGATCTACAAACACTGACATAATGGACTGATAATTCCTGCCTAATACTGAGCTTCTGCATCCAGCACTCTTCTATCTGTTTCTCAAAGAAACTGAATGATGAATGATCATGTAATCTGTGTGCATGCCAAAAGCTAATTTGTCCTTAATCTATACCCATTAGAGCTGTAAAATAGCATGGGTAAAGCTGCAGAGCCTTTGACATAAGACTGCTGAAGTATTTTAAATAGCTCTGCTTGAATGATACAAAGCACCTTTCAAGAAGAAAGGCCAGTTAACCTGATGACATAGGTTTATCTAAGAAACTTGTGAAATTCCAGACTTGGAAAGAAAACTTCCCTGAAGGAAGGAGTTCTTCAGCCTGTCTAGTCAGAAATAAGACTCAAGTCCTTCCTAAGCTATTCACCTCTTAAGCTCTAGAGCAATTGCAATTGCTTTCAGCACTAACAGCTTGTTAGAAAACACTAGAGCTGTGACTTCACACAACGATTATTAGCACATCTCTGGGCGTGTTACTCCAGGAAAGCACACAGCTAACAGTCAAGTTAAAAGTAAAAGCCACTGGGATGTGGAAAGAGTATTCCAGCTTAATTTTCTGTGTTTAAACACAACCCCCCACTGTGTTCCTGTTTTCCCTGCATCACACACAAACAACACCCTTCCTCCAAGATGTTAGGGATAGCATCCCACCACAAACACAGGCAGCGCTGAGTGGGTCAATGCTCTGAAGTCACGCCCTCAAGATCACCCGCAGTACTTACATGCTGGAGGTTTTACTACAAACGAGTGGCTACCTTCCCCTCAAATCAGACTGTAGGAGTAAGCTTTGCTTTTTTTACCTGATGAATCCTTTCATGTAATCCACTCCCTATCACTTTCACATTTGCTGTTAATGGGAAAGACAGAACTTTGCCCAGTGTCTGTAAGTCGTATTTCAGAGATGTGCGGCTAATGATTGAATGCAAGATACAGCTTATTAAACTGCATATAGCTTACTAAATTGCATCATATCCTATTCAGATACAGGAAGACAGAGCAGCTAAGCTTACAGTTTCATCTAGCCTGGATTTCTGATTTATAGAAGGTGACAGTTACTTTACACATTACTGCAAGGAGCTCCATGATCATTTACTAAAAAAAAGAGCCTCCTCAAAAAGGAGACTACCATCCTTGACCACACTGTGTGAAACTTCAAATGGGGATACACACATACAACACAACTGCACTTTAAGACATAACAGCCGGCTGTTTCCTTTCTAGTCTAGATTATGTGATGTGCAACTCTTTGATGCATTATAATTCTATAATCAACTCTACTTCTGCTGAAGCTTCTAAAGTTTACCCCTTTCAGCCAAGGCTCTGACTGAGGCACTGTATTGCAATTCTTCCCCTTTGTACTGTGGAGGAGAAAACCAAGACTGAAGTGGTACTCAAGTTGTATCTCTAAGAAAAAAACAAAACCCACCACCACAAAACAAACACGCATAAAAAACTTTTCAAAATTTATGAACAATGGAATTAACTCTAAGAATAGCCTGGTTTGCATGTTTGCTAAGCAAAACATTCGTTTCCTTTTAACCTAAGAATTACAGCATTTACTAGCGATGCATAACCAACAAACTGCGTAACATTAAACAGCAGTGGGAAATAATTGCAAGCTGGACAATTTAGCTTGATGGATGAACCTGAATCCTGGTTCAACAGCTCTACCGGTGTACACTTGCTCAAAGTGGTACGGACTAGAACATACTTTCTTGGTTTGAAAATTCTTAAATTCCTCATGCAGACTAGCTAAGGTCTGGGTTTCTTCCTGAATTTAAAAAAAAAATAAAAATCATCCACAAAAAAACCCAACCCAAAACCCCAAAATGATTCTTTTGGTAGTACCACACTTAATAATGGCAAAAAAATGTTATTTGTGGGATTGGAGGGTTGGACTAGAAATCCACAATTCCAAAGCTTTCCTATTAAAAAACCCACACATTTTTCAGTTAATTTGCAAATATATGTTGATACCTAAGTTTCCAGTGTATCACAACATGGAGGTGTTTTTTTTTTTTTAAAAAAAAAACATTAGCTGGCTACTAAAGGAACTTGGGGCTAATGTCACTTTCCTTGGTAAATGTGTTTATGGGGAGATAAAAGAAACCAACAGTCTCTTCTTAGCTTTACTTCAAAAACTTTTCAGCAGATCTAAAAAAGAAAGCAAGAATAACCGTACTGCTGGGAGCATTTATTGCCCCTCCCTCAACTTCATGCCACCAAAACAGTGTAGCATGCAGAAGAAATGAGAATGTGACAGCACTTTGTGACAGCGAAAGGGAAAGAAGGGGAAGAAAAACAGCATGATGGGACTGCACCTGCTTTTCTCAGGTTGGAGTCCGGCCATGGAGTGAAGTTCCAGGTACTGGATAAAAGGTGCTACAGCAATATTTGATTAAGTATTGATCCCGTATAAAACGGATTGTTAAGAGTTATGTTCATTCAAGAAGTGAGAGGACAATTTTGCAGCAAAAAGTTTTAAGATCACTGTTTATTTTCTCAGCAACAGTAGAAAGCTGTATGAAATCCAAACTCCAGGACAAGCCTGCTAATGTTGTCTCATTACCTGAAAGACATCACCTCACACCCAACTATCAATCAGGCACAGGAAGTCAGATTGCACAAAGACCTGGACTTAGTTACCACAAAGTCACAGTCCTATGGTGTCTGCAACATTTAATCAGTCATGTTACTTGTCACCAAATTTCAGTACAAAGAACATGACACTCATTTTTTAGTCTGTATAATTCTGACCTATATAGAATCATAGAACAGTTTTAGTTGGAAGAGACCTTCAAGATCATCAAGTCCAACTTTTGTCCTAGCCCTATCAACACCACTAAACCCTCAGCACAACATCCACCCATCTGTT